GATGCTAGAGGTTGGAGATTCAGGTACATTCACATGTGATGAGATGTCCAACTCCAAACTCAAATGGAATCAGTTTGTGCTTTTTAGTTAGGAAACATTCTCTGTTAGTGAAAAAATGAAATATTCGTACTATAGATTTATGTGTTTAGTTTTGAACTTCAAACTCAAAAATTAGGTGAGGAAACACTCTTCGTTACTGAGCTCCAGATTAGATGTACTTGGCTAAATTGTGTGTTTAATTAGATTTGACAATTTTCACTCACTTTAGTCTAAGAGAAGCAATCAATATTTTTAACCTGATTCTAGTGTCGCATAAAAGACAATTTTGCGCAAGTAAAATTCCACATAGTGACACTTTCAGTTTTTACCAAAAGGAAATCCAGTCAATTTATTCAATCTACATGAATTGAACAAGGTATTGGATAATGCTCAGTTAGCCAAATCAAACTTAACTATAACAAACCCCACACAAAATCTCGCAAAGAAGGCATTTAAAACAAAAAGATGCCAAGAGAAGAAAAAAGAATTGCATACTAACCTGATTCATATCAATAGTTTGGATTGCATTTCCGCGAGTAAACACAATAGCGTGGTTTTGATTCTCAGGTTTGCCTTCGCCAAGTTTCGGGTCCCCAGGCAACTTTATGGAGTAAATTTCCTGCATAACCAGAGACAAAATAATAAGACCAAAAAGGATAAGGGAGAAGAAACGCCATTTCCCTTTACAGTGAAACCATAGTTTACCCATCACCTAAAGCATGTTTTGTTTCGAACATTAAGGAAACAAGAACACTAGTCTCGTGACTGGGTTCACAGATAATCACAGCTTACCTTATCCTTTCCACTGATGTCGGCCTTCACAAGTTTTGAATAATATTCTGTGTGAGATTTACCCTCTTTTGGAGTATCAACAACATCAATATAAGCAATGCGAAGGGCTTCATTTCTGAAAATAGAACGAAAGAGATTACCTTGGTAATACAATATTTATAACGGAATGATAGGTCCTCAAAAAAGAAAAAAACAGAATGTTGTCAAAAGCTCTAGACCCGAGGTAGAAAAGCCCATCTCTTTAACCAAGAGACAAATTCATAAAGATGTCTTCTTACCTTTGCATTAGCAATGCAATGTCAACAGCTTGAGGTTTTTGTTCTTCTTTCTGTCTTCCATATATTTGGCATGTGACAACGTATGTGAACTTTAGATCTGCTTGGGACCTTGCTTCAGGAGATAACTCAAACCCTCCAGCATCCGTTGTGTCATTACCATTACGTGCAGACTCCACATCTGTAATAGTGAGATTGCCCTAAGAATAAGCTTGCCAAAAAAATTATTTATACAAAGCTCTCTTAGCCTCTTACCTTTTCCTGCCTTCCTTTCCAGGTAAGACTGAAGCATGAGGGCTTTCCTATAATACATCATCCCGCGAACTGCAGGTATAAGGCCAGATAACACGTAAAGGAAAACACTGAAAATATATGCAAGGGAACAGCTGAAACCAAAATGACTTGCAATGTAAGATCGTGAACTGAATAGTAAAGGTGTAGTGAATTGTTTACTTTACCTGTTCTAGCTAACGTTTGTCCACGGTAAGAGGCCCAAAATCGAAGTTCAAGTATGTCTCTCTCATTATCTAGATCGCCTTCTAACGCATTTTCATCCCGTCCTATTCGTGCAAGAAAATTTTTCCACTCATCTGCAATATATCAAATATCTATGAGAAACAATTTAGGCACATATCCATAACGGTAATAAAACTAAGCACAGAAAGCAAAACAAAAGAAAGTCAACAAGCTAGGATAACAACCATTAATTAGTAAGGAACTCACACAGATATACCTGGATATATTTTCTGAAGGTAAAACAAGATAGATATTCCATCCTCATTTCTCTTAGTGAGTTCAGCCATGCTGTATAGCACAACCTCAGAATAATATGGAGTGAAGACACTGATAACAAAACCGAAAGGAAGATTGTAAGCTTGTAAAGAGCTTGTGTGCATAATATAATGAAAGTATGAAGAAAGAAATACCTGAAGGATAACATCTGGCGGACAGACTTTGGTGGTGGCACATCCATGAAAAGAGAATTGGTGAAGAATTGCAGTCTGCGCCTGGCCTCAAGATTTCTAGGAACATGCGCTGCAGAATCTTTGATAGTAAATAGAGAGTACAATCTTTTGACGAGTGCTTTCTGCAAATCATAGAGAATCATAGATCATTATCAGACTGACGGAAAATAAACTGAGTGCACTAATAGCCTTGACAACAAGAATCATCATTATACCATCTCAGGATCTTTAGGCCATTTCAACTTTGAAAAAAGCCGACCTTCATTCCACGCTTGAGTTATCCTGTTCCACGATTCATAGTGACCCCTACACACAGCAACATATTTTGGGGAAAAATATCAAATGAGGAAAAGAAAAGAACAACGGGGATTGTTGCACAAATGCAGCCAAATCGTCAACTTTGGATGTACCTCATATTGAAAGTTAATATGTCTAGCCGCATAACATCGTAGAGATCCTGAAGTGCTTTGACGGCCCCTTTTGCATGCTCCGGTGTTTCATTTTCTTTCTGTCCATGGAATTGAGCACAATTTAAAATCAAATATATAAAGAATCATGTAAGCAAAAAAGGAAAAGGAAATAATACTCCGTCCAATTCATAACAGTCAACAAACTACGGCACCCTTCACCCACTAATAGGTAAGGACGTCTATGCTTCACAATAATTTAACTTTCAGCATCATTAAAATTACTACTATAATAATTACGAGCCAGTTCAATGAGGGCTTTTCTGACAGAGATATAATTAGCACAGACAATGCGAATACCAGGATTCCCAAGAGTGCAGTCACTCTAGTGATAGCAAGGGAGAGCTTGTTCAACTGAAAGTCATGATGTATAGTTCTTTCCTTTAAGCTGGCCTGGATGACTTCGTAGATTCTTTCCACCCTACAAAATTCACCGTACACATCATCTTTTTATCCAGCAAAAAAATCTCTCTGAGTCATTTTAGGGCCTAAAAAACATTACCACGTCCTCCCTTCATCTTCCAGAGTTTCTGTCAGGACAAATTTAAGAGTGTGATAGACTTCCTCAACAGCATACTTCATATAGTCATCCCTTTCGATCCTCTCCAGAATCTCTTCTTGTGAATTACTCTCAGCAGCAATCTCTTTGGCCAATAATATCTACAGTAGATTATAAGAAAATACTTGTCAATAAGAAGTAACCTCATATACAATTTTTCATGGATACCCAGATAGCCACAATAAAACGTTGAATTTTAAGAAAGAAGCAGGTAAAGTAACAAACTCACCTTGCTGGAAAGAAGAAAAAGTGGCCACTGAACCAATTGGAGCCTACCAGAATTCTTGGGCATCAGGAGCAAGTCCATCTCACTAGAAAATGATTCCAAATGAGAAAATGGGTAAAAACGAAACCATAAAAAGTAGAAGCTAGGAGCATTAAGCACACAGCAAAGTTATTATAGACCATAAAGCACTTACAAATCAGTGATGTAGTCTTCCTCTCGTAGACTTTTAATTATCTGGTTCCAAAATGGAGCAAAGTGTGCTGCATCTACTTTGTTCTTATCCACAGCCTTTGAATTGATAATCACATGCAGATATGAACAACAATCGTCAAAGAAAACTAACATGCCAGTCCCATTGAATCAGGGTAACAAACTTCTAACACACATTCATTTAGAAAATTAGTGTTTCATAAATGTAAAACAGGCCAACAGCTACAGAACCAAGAAGAGGAAAAAAGAATACCTACCTGATGAGAAGGATCAGAAGTCCTGCACATGATTTTGAATTATAGGCGAAAGGCAACAAAGACGAGAACATGTTAATATTCAACAAAGATAAAGGGAAATATGCAGGAAAGTGGAGGTTTTAGATGACAGATGGAAAGGAAACTGACTGGTTGGTAAGAGGAACATGAAGAGCCTTCATAAAGGCCCCTGGAAATTCCTCAAATTGTTTGTGAATTGCTTCCAAAGATCTAATCTGTGAAAAATTGCAAGGAAAGGAAAAGAAACGTAAGGACCTAACCTCTTACAAACAGTGTAGTAACAGTCTAGGTTAGGTTGCGTGGAAACTCCGTCCGAGAAGCGTTTCCCATTTCGGAAACGTTTCGAAACCGAAACTCTTGGAAACTCCATGGAAACGCGTTTCCGAATAAATTTTAATTTGGAAACGCGTTTCCTAAAATATTTTAATTTGGAAACTCGATGGAAACTTTAATTCCGTTTTGGAAACGCGACGGAAACTCGTTTCTTAGAAATCTCAAATTGGAAATACGACGGGAATGTTCGATTTCGTTTAGGAAATGCGATGAAAAATTGTTTTTTACATAATAATTAAATAGTTTGGAAATGTAGGGATCTATTTAGTAATTTTATAGGTTAAAAACAACAAAATTATGAAAAATTGTGTTTGTTTATAGGTTAAAAACAACAAAATTATTATACTTTTTGCTTCTGTTAAGCTATTTAATATTCATGTATATAATTTGTGTTGTTCAAATTGTTTTAAATATTGTTTTTGATGTTGTTGATTC